CCCCCCCCCCCCCCCCTTCCTCAGTGAGTGCATTGGTTCATGTCCTGTATGGTCATGTGTCTGTCCCAGCGAGGGCTACATCCGCACGGCGAGTGAGCCCCTGCGGCTTGACGGAGATGGATACGGTAGACCAACACAGTAGACTTGACGTCCGCTTCCCTCTGCATGTTTCCATTGATTGACGCAGTGGACCCCTTCATCCACATCACCAACAACGCTGTGCAGAAGCTGGGGGCCGCATACGGTCAGTCAGCCAGCCAGCCAGCCAGCCAAGAAGATAGTTGTCTATCGAGCCAGAACACCGTGGATACATGTGTGTGTGCAGGCAAGCATGAGGCCGGCAACCAGATGTCGTTTCAGGAGCTGCAGGAGTACTGTGCGGAGCACTACCCTCATCTGCAGCTGGACTTCAGCCCGCAGGGTGGCGTCCTCAGACGAGTGTCAGAGCTGGTCGCTCTCTCAATGCAAGCCGTGAGCTTTAAAGAGGGGCGGCCGGCCTCGAAAGGGGCAGTAGCACATGTCTCCTGTTTTGCGCGCGTGTGTGTGTGTGTGTGTGTTGGGCAGATTCGTCAGTCCCTGAATCGCCGCATGAGGCGATGCTCATTCCAGCTGTTCGGGTCAATCTTTCATTCGACTCTGCCAGCAGCTAGCGTGGTTGCCTTGTGTGATCTCATTCTGTCTGTGCTGCAGTTATGACTTCATGATTGATGAAGGCGGGCACACGTGGCTCATCGAGGTCAGTGAGTGGAGCAAATGAAACAAAAGAAGGAAGACACGTGACCAGTGCATGTGTGCGGACGTGCAGGTCAACAGCAATCCGTGTCTGGAGGAGTCCTCGCCGCTGCTGCGTCGGTTGCTGCCCGAGATGCTGCACGACCTGTTCAAGCTCGTGGTGGACCCCTACTTCAAACCCATCCGTTCCACACATTGGAACATATACAGAAAATTCCAAGTGAGAAAGGGCACTCACGCTGTCTTTGCTATTTAAGAGTGTGTGTTGTCTGTGTCAGGTTGAGGAGCGTGCGTCTCGTTTCGAATTGGTGACGTGTCTCAACACGCCCCGGTCTGTGTTCCTCCCCGGTGGGGAGCTGCCTAAGTGGGGAGTGGGGCTACCCAGAGGTAGATCCGTCACACACGCATGCGTACATTGACAGACATGTCTCCTGCTTTTCTCACGCAGGCAAAGGCCAGCGCCTGCTCGCAAGGTAAGGGAGCCAACTGCCTGCCTCTCATCCTGTGGACGTGGCTCTTCGTTTGTGTGTGGTTTGCTTCGGTTGACCAGTGCGTCTCGAACGCTGCTGGGCATCACTCAGCGCGCCGGCGCAGGTGGCGGTATGGGACCGATTTCCTTCCACCCCACACCATGGCGAATCATCAAAGGCACCCACACATGCACATACAATGAATCGTTCCTCCCTTCATTGTGTATCCTCTCTTGCGCAGGCACGAAGCCTCCCAGAGTCGACCATCAGTGTCCCTGGTGCTCGCCAATCCGGCTGCTCAAACACACCCCCGAGCTGCCTGAAGAGGGTGGACCTGCCCCTCGTCCCAACCCCTCTCTGTCGCCCCTGCCTCTCTCCCCGCCGGATGACCTCACCATGCCCCCGTGGCTGGCCAAACAGGCCAAGGACGATGTGCAGGGAGAAAGGGGGGCGAGCAACGGCAATGGTGGTGTTGCCGAGGCCGCCAAGGCCCCTTACGACAAGAACGACAAGGCGAGGAAACGAGCTGCTGTGAACAATGGCAGGAGAAGACGAGATGAGAATGGCAAGCAGGAGGGGAAGAGAGAAAGTGGTGGTAGTGGTATCGCTATTCATCCCAGCTGGTCGCGGCCCAGCAGCAGCGGCCAGAGCCAGGGGCGGGCATCAAGACAGAGCATTCACAACGTCTCCGTCATCAAGCCGTAACGAAGGCAGCTTTCCATGTCTCTACTTATGTCTGTCTGTCTAGTTGCGTGAATTGGTCTTTGGCATGATAAGACATTCTGGGCGCAAGCTTCGGCCGGGCCGTCGTCGATCTTTGACAGACAATGCTGTCAATCTCAAGACATGTGGCACGGTGTGGCAAGGTCAATGAGCTACCTAGTCAATGAACGTCATAGGACCGACGTCTCATTCGATCGATTGCAATTGGCTCATGTCCGGATGAACGCACATGTACTACACACACAACACAGGAAGTATGTCATGACTGCCTCAGTCACTCACCGCCTACCAGGCTCGACGGCCTAACACAAATCTCTCTCTCTCTCCCCTTCTCTCTGTCTGTCTGGCCGCACAGAGCATACCAAGTGCAAAGTCACACGCATCAGCGGGCAGCGAAGGACAGCAAGGAGGAAGGCAAGACAAGTGGGGGGGCGGGCCTGTCTTGTACACTGGTGTGATAAGAGGGAAAGGCCCTAGGTGTACATGAAGTCGCACTGCCTGCAATCGGTAATCCCGCCCGTCGCAGCCCACACGACAGCGACCAAGCTTATGCACAGCGTGGACTCGTCGTTAACGTCCGCTTTCCGGCCCTCAAACATCTCGATAATCGCCACCATCACCTGAGCAGTCACTGCAATCGCACCCACAGACATAGAGACACAGACGTGGGGCTGAGAAAGAAATCTTGGTATCGACTCTCTTCCGTACGCCAAGGAGCGACCAGCAAGAGCTCCTTAACAGATGAAAAGATAGGGACGAAGTACATAAAAGCCAAGAAAGCCATACAGAGGGGGGAGGGGGGTCACGCGGTGAGTGTTGTGGTAGCTCCCGTGTGCGATCCTTGGTTTACTTGCCTTGAGACAGTATTTGCCGTCGTCGTCAGGGCTGCAAAAGAGAACAGCGTTGGGCAGTTTTTTTGCAACATCCTATCTAATAGCTCACTAGACGTGACTGTTGTAAAGGAAGTCCATTATACTCCTGCACCTGACAGGGGCGCACTCGGATGAAATAGGCACGAGCGCACCATCACCACTGATAGGGCGGTCGCCCCCTCCGACGTCTTCCTATGAGCGGGATAGCCGATTGATGCCGCAGGGATCCATTTCTTTGACGAGCCGATCGAAACCAGCAGATGGATCAATAGATGGGTCTTCAAACCAGCTGCCAGCGCGTACCACTTGTAGGCCTGCACAATCCAGGGCCCACATCAATATGACACGCACAGCCGAAGAAACTTCAAACCTCTCTTCTTACAAACTGGGTTTGAATGGACGAGGAGCTTCTAAAAGATGCATGCAGACAAGAAATGAGGCCTTGTCGATTTATGGCGGTTCGGGCACCTCCAAGTGGCCATGCAATTTCCCCATGCACTGGCAAGTAGGCTATGGCATTGTGTTGGACATCCTGATATGACCAATACAGACATTCGTTGGCGGTATGGCATGCAATCAGACATCGATTCGTAGGCTTTCTTACGATGACTCTGAGTTGTGTCATGCTGTAAATCATGGGTGGGATATGGATGACGTTATTGAACATCAGAGTGATGTATGAGAGTTCACGAAGCTCGTTTATCCATGGGGGGATGGAACTGCAACCACAGGCAGAGATACAGAGAGAAAGTAAGGATCAGTGCATAGTACACGCTCTGTGCTAGAACCCAAGACGTGAGCTTCATATTTACCGGACGTCTGCCAGCTGAAACCCGAGGGTTCGGAGTTTGTGCTGCAGCCGAATGCCCTTCGGTATCTCGGTGATATTGGATATGAAGTACTTGTAGGACTTCGATGAATGAGTATCGCCCACAAACCCGAAAATAACAGCCTGGCACAAGACAACACAACAGGGGAAAGCAACACAGAGACACAAAGAAGCAGACTAACGGTTGATTCTGTCATCTTGCTGTATTGTAGTTTTTTCTCACCTCTAGTGTAGTATAATGATCGAGTCCTTCGATGAATTGCATGGTGGCGCTATAGTCATTCAGTGTGAGCTCCTAGATATGCCGTAATATCTGTCATTCGCCATACCAGGCTCATCCAGTGAGTCAGACATAAAACTCGACTCCGACACGTACCTGCAGTCACAAGGAAGCTTCGTCCTGCTGGCTCCGAGGACTGGATAAGTCCGGTAAGAGCAGAACTGATGTCCTGGAAGTGTGGGACAGATGACGCCGCCACGCCATCGTTGAGACACTTGTAAGAGGGTGAAGGCGAAGAGAAACAGCATCAGGAGTATGGATGCTGGCCATATCACAGTCTTCTCAATGCAGATGACTCGCGTCGATCGGCCAGAAGGTGGCGCATAAAAGGCGGACAGCTGCTTTCGGAGGCGAAATTCAACTCTTTCGTCTCCTTTGGACAGATCATTTCCATGAGCGCGGTGAGTTGCGGATGGAGACGCTGAATTGCCTGACTCTCGTAAGCCCTCCTTTTCGCCGAGGACCTCCTCTTCTTGTGCCCCTTCGTTTTCGTCGCCTTCATGTGTGCCGTTGTCTTCTCTTTTTGGCTCATCTTGTATGGCATCAGTTAGCTGTTGCGTAATATCATACGTGCCGTTATCTTGCTGTGCTGGCCGATGCTCATCTGTCATATCAAAGTCCACTACATGGATGTAGAAGTCGGCCACACGGATGCGCGGCTCTTCAGCTTCGGACGTTTGTGACGAAGCCGACCGCAGGATGGTGGAGAAAGCCACCGAGTCAACCCTTGCCACTGCGGTCTCGTCAAATGCAGCGAACTTCTCTGCCATTCCGTCGGTCTCCTGAACATTGCCGTCTGCCCTTTGGGAATCGTTCAATTCCCAGTCTCCATTGTCGGGATCGCCGAGATTGACCATGGCTGCTCGTGGGGACTCTTCGACATGGCCTTGACGATCAGTCTGGTCGGTCCCCTCTTTCAGGTACTTGGATCGCATCTGCTCACGGCTCCTCTTCCAGTCGGTATAGCGTTTGAGGGTAAGAAGTGCATCGATGGCACGAAGCTCGAACAAAGCCAACAACAGGGGGCAATACGCTGCCAAGAACTGCAGCCATCCTCAATTACAGATAGACAACTGATCAACGTATCGTGATACTTACTTGAAGCACATTGTGCGTCCGAAGGGATACAAACATGCCGATCGACCAGGTCACTTTCCATTGAAATCGTCCCACCTCCAAGAGCCCAGCTGATGAAAGCATCAGGTGCACCGAATAAAGCAGGTTGATCCCCAAAGACGTGAAAATGGCCCAGCCCTGCATACATGGATGGATGAATTGAAGAAACAATCTTTTCATGCATGTATCCATCCATTTTACTCTCTTCTTCCGGGCGTGCACAATAATGATCAGGAGTGAATGGATGAACATGAGAAGGGACAACAGAAAATGAGACAGCCACGGTTGTGCGGGCAGGTCCTGTAGAATAAAACACCATGCAGCGGGGCAGAAAGCGGATACATCTCGACTCCTCTTACTTTTGAGCCAAACAGATCCCAGCCACCAAGCATGAGACATGAGGATAGCTGCAAGGCGATGTCTCCTGTCTCATCTATTATCGGGTCAGCAAAGAGGAAAACACCAAGGACTCAGACTATTCTTCTCTATGATTTATCCTTGTTTACCGCAAAAGTGCCTGACAGACGATTGAATGCAAACCAAGTGGACCTCTTCAGGCAAGAGAGACGTGATTTGGTAATTCTTTGTTTTACCTACACGATCCAAAACATGCTGCCACTCAATCCAAAGAGTGTCCAGGCCTTGAGAAGCGCCGTCTGATACCACTCCACTAGCTTCGCCACACGAGCCACCATGAGACTAGCATAACTCAAAGACTTCTGTCTCAGGCCAAAGGCCGCGGGGGTATTTTGGATACATCCGATGATTCCATCGGCGACTTGTCAGTGAGGCCGCTCGTCCGTTGGTGGTGAAGTGAGGTGAATCTCCTGCTTTGATGCTCAACAGAAAGTTTTGCTAGCCTGCGCCTACTCTCTTTCCTGAGACATAAGAAGACACAATGGATGGCAAATGGTGCGCATTTTGATTGTGGCACCATCTTTTTCTCATCCCACGAAAGCCAAACGCATGGCTTATAAGCACAGCGAATGCCCAGACGCCCAACGCAGTCCACAGCGTTCCGTAAATGATCGATCTACCGCAATGAAGCAGCAGCTGAGACCGACACCTTGAATGCAACAGAAAACTGATTTCACCTCGTTGTTGCGATGAATACATAGTCTTCTGTTGAGAGAAGTTTGTGAACGTAATCCTCCTGAGAAATCGTGCGCAAAACGTTCGCAGCTGCCATATCGCTCTCTCGTGTTCGTTGTTTGATGATTTGCTTACCATGTCTGCATACCCCATGAAGCCCATACTGTCAAAAAAGTCAGCAAAATGCCTGTGACAGTGATAGAAAAAGAAAAACACAATGAGTTAAGTCCACGTCTGTCTTTCCCTGACCTTTCCAATTGCTCCCCGAGTGCATGCAGCGCACAGAAGACGCCAATCACGGACATTGAAGCCCACGAGACATAGTTGGACAGCCCAGTCGCTTCACAGAAAGAAATCTCTCTCACAGCATCCGCGTCCGACAGCTTCACCCGGTGAATGTGGCGGTGTGAATCAGCTAGTCCTTCCTCCATTGTGCCGGCTTTGCCTGCTCGGCTATTCTTCTTCTCATCGTGCAGCTGGGGTCCAGACAGAGATGCGAAGCCTTGCCAAGTGAAGTCAAGTGAATGCACGGTCCGTGTTTGCGGCTCACCACACTCAAGTAATGGTCCACAGTGGTTTCGACGGCCTCTACGGCAGCTGAGATATTCAGGGCGTCATACACGGCGTTACCCAGGGAGCCGACTGATTCACGAGAAGTGCGGCGCACTCTCTCAATGAAGCTGACTCCGATTCGCCTTTTCGCCTTCATGATGGATGGATGGATGGGAAAGGCGATCAAAACCACGCGCGGGCGCTTGCCAAGGGAGAAAACGGGGGCCTGTGAAACGGAGACGCCGAAGACAAAAGCGAATCGAACGTGGCTGGACCTGTAGATGGACACAGGAGGGCTTGACAGCTGAACCTTTCTGTCCCTAGCAATGCAGCTAGGACGTCGAGCATCAGCTCTGGCGCGAAAGGAGCTTGGCAGACGATTCTTTGCTTCTCGCCCTTCATTGGCCTCACAGCACCCCACAGGCGACAGCCGGGGCGACCAACGACGCCTGTTTGAGCTTGCCGCTGGAGCTGGCGCCCTCCTGTTTGCTGTTGGTGGAGCGGCAGCCTACGCCCGGCGCTCACGTCCCTCCAGGTGTGAAGAAGCAGTTGCTGCGGGCACCAAAACCGACAATCTGCAACTGGTACAAAACGCTCAAGGGAATGGACAAGTCGAACGAAGTGTGTCACCACTCTGCGGTCGTCGTTGTGTGTGTCCTTTTTGTGCACCCTGATATCAGGCACACCGTTTCCATGATAGTACCTCCCCGTCCCACGTGTCACTCCCCATCCCGACCCTCCCCCCTCCCCCATCATCCACCGTGACGCTTGTGACGGCCGACGGCCCGCCCTCGCCCAAGGCGGGGGAGTGGATAAAGGGTCTGCCTGAGTACAGCAAGGAGCAGGTGGCCGAACACAAGACGGCCGACAAACGGATATGGGTCAGCTATAAGGACGGAGTCTATGGTGAGGCCAGCTGACTTCGGGAAAGTGAAGACAAGAAGCCGGCGAGATTGATGGGCTGGATTGGATGGCTGTGTGTGTGGCTCTTTCCTCTGGTGTGTGTGCAGATATCACTGGTTTCATCGACAAGCATCCCGGCGGTGCTCGGCGGATATCGTTGGCTGCCGGCGGCTCCATCGAGCCCTTCTGGGCCATGTACCAGCAGCACAACAAGCCAGAGATACTCGAGATGCTCGAGGAGTATCGCATCGGTCGGTCGGCCTGTAAACATAATGACAAACACATGCACATCCCCGATTGTCTGCTCAGGCAACTACCTGAGACCGGCCGACAGTCCCAGTGTCGACGACCTTCGTACCACGGCAGATGGTACGCATAGCGGACAGAGATACGTTCCTGTGTCACATCGACATGACATTTCGCTGTACGCCTTTCCTCACACCTCAGACCCATACCGCAACGAGCCCTCCCGCCATCCGGCGCTGAATGTGGTGTCTGAGCGGCCCTTCAACGCAGAGACCCCCGTGGCCCTCCTCGCCGACCACTTCATCACCCCAAATGAGGTCTTCTTCGTCCGCAACCACCTCCCCGTCCCCACACTCGAAGGCGACGGATACGAGGTGCAGATTTCCGGACTGGGCTTCCAGGGGCCCCTCAACCTGTCACTCAACGACCTCAAGACCAAATTCCAGAAACACACGTACGGACGGCAGAGAGAGGGAGGAATGCCCGAGGGGCAGTGGGGCAAAGATGTGTGTTGCATGGCCACAGGGTGACGACGACCATTCAGTGTGCGGGCAACCGGCGGCATGCGTTCAACCAGGTCAAGAGCGTCAAGGGTCTGAATTGGGGCAATGGGGCCATCGGCACGGCAGAGTGGAGCGGCGCGTCGCTGCGCGACGTCCTGTCTTACTGCGGTGTGTACGACGAGCGGGCCAGGCTCCTCAAGGCCAAACACGTCCAATTCGAGGGATGGTATGGATGCATTCACGTGGCCGATGTGTGTATACTGCCGGTGCACGTTGAGTCCTTTCCTTGTGTTAATGTCTGGCAGGGATGAGGATCTGTCGGGCTGCCCCTATGGCGCGTCCATACCGCTCGAAAAGGCCATCTCAGAACACGGTAAGATGAGGGCACCGCACCAACCCACCGGGTCGTTACGTCTTTTCCCTCATCTTTGTGTGTCATTGCTGCAGGTGATGTGATTCTGGCCTACGAGATGAACGGCCAGCCGCTGCCGCGCGACCACGGCTTCCCTCTGCGCGTCATCATCCCTGGTGTGGTGGGTGCACGGCAGGTTAAGTGGCTGCGGAAGGTCATCATCAGCGAGGAGGAAAGCCAAAGTTTCTGGCAGCAGAACGACTACCGGTGGGCGTGGCGTCTATGCATGCTGCTATTCATCCATCCACACCACACACGTCTGTCACCCCACCGTGTTCTGTTCTATGACTGTGTTGTCCCTTCATGGAATGCAGTGTCTTTTCGCCTTCTGTGGATTGGGATCGTGTCGACTGGCGTAAGGCGCCCGCCATCCAGGAGTACCCCGTGCAGTCGGCCGTGTGCGACCCAATGGACGGCAGCATCGTCCCACCAGACCAGGAAGACGTCACCGTCAAGTGAGCTGACCTAGCCAAAAACATGAATGGCACCAGCTGTCGATGACTGTGTGTGTGTGTGTGTGTGTGTTGTGGTGTTTGTCGCAGGGGCTACGCATGGAGCGGTGGCGGCCGCGCGATCATCCGCGTTGACGTGACGATTGACGGCGGCGTCACGTGGCACGAGGCCAACCTGCGATGCAGAGACAAGAGATGCCACCTGAGGGTGAGCAGAGCGAGACACACAACACAAACGCATCAATAATGAGTGCATCCATCCTTCCTCTCCCTGCAGACGGACAGCTCATACGAGGATGCGAGCAAGGCCGCGTCCGAGCCTGCAGGCGATGAAGAAGATGACGATGAGGACGATGAGGTGTTGGCGCAGGAGGCGTCGGACTTCACCACACGGCCCGTCGACAAGGCGTGGGCATGGGCACTCTGGGAGGCACACATCCCAGTCCCGCAAGAACTACGCGGCAGAGAGGTACAATGATGCACTGTCGGGCGTCAGCACGGTGTTTCTGTGGTATATTTATGAGTATCCCATTTCCTTTATGTGTCAGCTTGAGATCTGTTGCCGTGCTGTCGACGCCAGCTACAATGTGCAGCCCGAATCTGTCAGCGCCATATGGTGAGGGAGCACCTACACCTACTACTCGCGGTGCGGTATTGTTGCTCGGTTCTGGCTGGGCTGTGTTTGCAGGAACCTGCGAGGGTGTCTGTGCAATGCGTGGGACCGAGTGAAGGTCAAGTGCACAACGGCCACTGCAGAGGCCGTGGCTGCGGCGGCTGCTGTGGGGGTGCCTGCAGCCGCATGATGACGGATGTGGCACGCTTACAGAGAGAGCGTCACTCTTGCTGTCTTTTGTTTCTGAATTGTTTCCTCCTATCTGTCTGTCTACCGATGGATCGGTCTGTGAGCGAGTTGCGAGTGAGAGCAGGCCCAATTCACACCTGTACAGTAGCTGCAAAGAAAGCCACACAGTGACAACACCATCCCATCTGTGGGCGAGTAGTTGCCCATCACACACACGTCGTGTCGTATATGTTGTGCTGGGGGTGGGGGTGGGGGGCTTTTTCATTGTCATGCTGGCGGCGCTGTCGTTGTTGCCGTGGGTACCTTTCTCTGGGTGGGGCGGGTGGCTACTTGTGGATACGCCAACGTGTGATGAATTGCTGCGGGCCTACTTCCTTGCTTGATGCGGCTGCGTTTGGTGGTGGTGACATGCATATGATGATGTGATGAAGTGTTTATCGGCGTTGCTTGCAGACCCGTTTGCATTGGCTAACATTGGCTTGAGCGCATTGGATGGATCGCTACGAGCACATCCACCCACAGCTACCCACAGCTACAATTATCCCACCCCCGACAGTAAGCATTTGCCCATCCAGATGTCTGAACACAGCCATCCATCCATCCATACGCTGCCGTCTATCTTATCTATCCAGCACAGCCCTCCCCGCCACGCAGCTGTCTCTTGAGGCTCGTCTTGGTCAGCTCATAGAGAGCGATTGCGGCAGCATGAGAAACCGTCAGGGAGTCGCCCGCCATCTGGGGGATGGACACCACCTCAGTGCATGCAGACAGGACAGCATCTGACGCACCCTGCAACCACACAGCCGCAGCGAAACACAAGCCCGAGAAATGTTTCAAGAATGCGTGTGGATGCGGCTTTGTGTGTCTCACCGTGTCTTCATTGCCCACCACGGCCGCCCAGTTGTCGTCATCATGCCCATGGAGGAACTGCGCACACAACAAAGATGACACGCCCACAGAGAGAGCCACGTGCCTGCCCCCCTGGTGCCTCCTCCCACCTCCCACCTCGTTAGCACATGGTGAAGTCCCATACACAGTGATGCCCATTTGCTTCATCTGCTGTATCACCCTTGGCAGCGTGGCCTCAGGACAGTGACAGATGTCAAAGTGGAACAGCGACCCGATGCTCACGCGCGCCGCCCTGGCGTTGCACCCCGCCCACGACACGTCCGTCATCACAATCGACCGCAGACCGAATGAGAAGGCCGTCCGTAGCAGAGTGCCGACGTTATCAGCGCTGCGCACATCGGCGAGAACGAGGAATGGCGGCCTCATGTTGGCCAGTATGAGATCTACTCGCTGCTCCCACTCCTTTATCCTCTGTCCCAAGGCTTTTTCAGCCGCTGTGCCGTCCCTGATTGACGGCCGCTTGACGCTTCGCTCGCTTCGCTCGCCCGCCATGGGATAGTCGGCGATTTGGCTGCCTTGGAGGTCGAACAGAGCCCCAATGGCGTGGTCGTGGTTCAGTGGCATTCCCACAATCTCGCCTGATCACGTACGCGGCAAGACGATGGATGCAGCACACCAGATTGCATGAGTGATCTTCTTCTTATGCCTACTGATCAGTGCTCTCGGGCATGTGAGGACAGGCCCGTCGAGCGAGAGCGCCTCCAAGTCGTCCCGTAGCGACTCAAACAACCTGCAGCCAATCTTGATAGATATCCTGAAAGCGCTGATCGATCGATGACTTTTGCACTCACTCACTTATTCACTCAATCACTCACTCATTCGCTCACTCGAGTGACACGAGGACGGACAGGCACCTCTGTTTGCCCTGGAAAGCCCTCCTGGTGGCCTTGTCAGACATGGCCACCACGTAGTTCATGCCCCTGTCAAACATCTCTCTCCTCTTTGCACTGTACACCAACTCATTGCGGCCCTGTGACCACACGGAGGGGTGCACACAGACAGAAGCCAACACATTGAGTCAAGCAAGGTCAGAGTCAGTACTAGGCGGATCGGATCTGACCTTTTTCATCTTGTAGAGTTCCACTCGCTCGTCGTCAGCTGTTGCTATCACCACGACCTCGTGATTCACAAGACCCGGCGGATCTGCGCATCCGTTCGCCGCTCTCTCTTCTCCATCAGCCGGTGCGTGGCAAGTGCTGTTGGCGGCGTCTGAGCTTTTCATTTCCTCGGGAGGCTTTAACGCCGGCTTCGTAGCGCAGTGTATGCGACTCAGGCCCTTCGTAGGCACGGTGAAGCCTCAGACATGCCAAACTCCGGATCGAGTGGATCGAATTCATTGACGCCTTGTACAGGTAGGGTGGTCTGTCACATCCATCGAGGCATGAATGCGACCATCCACTGTCAGCCACAGGACCGACCCTCGCCGGCCGGCAAAGGAGGTCGCGGCCACACCAGCTACTTACAAACACGCCATGATACATACACACACCCACACCCACACCCACACACCCAGATGCATCCCTTCCTACCTCTACAGACTCAGGCGTGCATAGGTGCACGTCAGGTATATATACAAAGTACACACCGGTCTTGGCTACCTCGCCGCCACCCGCATGGCCCTTGCAATGGCCTCGACCAATGCGTCCGCCCCCTGCAGCCGCATGCCTCGCCTGTTTCTCATATTGCCGGCACCACTCCCGCTGCCGCTGCCGGTGCTGGTGCTGCTGGTGCTGTTTTGCGTCCGTCGTTTGTTGCTCTTGGTGGGTGTCTTGGTGGCCGTGGGGCGGTAAGGGTGCACGAGACGCAGACCGGCCAGCTCGGGTACGGGCTCGGTCAAGGAGGCGGAGGACAAATTCTGGACAGACAAAGGGAAAACAGGCACACGTGAATGTTCATGTGTGGAAGGGAGTCCCTGTCTGGGTCACCTTTCGTCTGATGGCCAGCATGATGTCGAGGCCATACTTGCGGGTGCCCACATCCACACAGCCCTCGGCCAGCTCCTCCTGGCTGTCTTGTGATTCCCTCACCCCCTCTCCCTCCTTGTCTGCCTCCCCCTTGTCGTCGCCGGCTGTGTTGCTCTCTTCAGTCTTCGAAGATGCGATCATCTGCGCCATGGACGGCCACGAGGGGGCGTACTGAGATGCGCCGAAATGCGAGTAGCTCCCACTACACGCAATCCATCCGTCCACCCGTCCATCCCATGTGCCATGCGAATGGATTGGTGTGCAGATCCGGACCCACCTGCTGTCGATGGTAGGCATGTCTGTAGTTGACACGTTGGATTGGGAGTCGGCGCCGGTCTGCTGCTGCTGCTGCTGCTGCTGGATGTCAACCAGCCGCTCGAAGATCAGCATGCTCTGCTGATAGAACTCATCCGTGTCAGGTGAAGTGGCCAGCGGGATCGGCCTGAATGCCATGCGACCGACAAGGCAGACCATCACACCCACCCAAACCGTCCATCTCTTCTATCCGCCCCCTTACCTGTTCTCATCGATCCAGGCCTTCTCGACGAACATGACACTCTCCACCCAAAGGTCAGCCCGGCTCATGCCCGCCACTCTGCCGCTCTTGATCAGCTCGGCCAGGGAGGACGGTGGGCGCATGATGGGCTGCTGTTGGGGCTGAGAGGGCTGGGAGGAGGACGGCTGTTTGTGGTAGAAGGCCTCCTCGCCAAAATACACCTCCAGATGCCTCCCTGCGGACACGCGGATGGATGGATGGACGGATGGATGGGCGTGTGCACAGATGTGGTATGTTATGTTGTTCCGGTGGATGTGTGTGAGGGGCAGAGCAGAGCAGCGCACCTTTGACGAGGTTGCCCTGTGTGTAGTTCATCGCCTTGCACGCCTCCTGGCGGGACGCATACCGCAGGAACCCTGCACACAACACAACACAACACAACCGACACACCGATAGACAGACACTTATGGCCGTGTGTCTGCGTTGTGTGTCGGTACACACCGAATCCCTCCATCTTGCCGTTGTCGTCACGAGCAACCCAACATCTGATGCACACAGACAGACAGACAGACACGGCAAGGCCATGCATTAATGTACCTGCCCTGCAACAACCAGCCAGCCCTCCCCCGCACCTCTGCAGCGACCCAAACGGCGCGAATAGGACCCGGAGGTCATCGGCCGACCAGCATTCGGGCACGTTGAACACATACAGGCCTGAACCTGCCATCCATCCACAGCCACATGCAATATTCATCTCACTCACGCTTGTGTTCCCATCCACCAGTAGTATCTTGTGCTGGCGCTTCTGTTGCTGGCTGACGGGCGAGCATCTGTCACACGCACGGACGCACGCAGGCGCATGCATCGCACACCCAGCCCAGCCGTGATCAACACATCTATCTATCTCCCGGCCTTCATCGTTAGTTACCTTTCGGGAAGCGCCGTGGGTTTGGATCGTATGGACACCAGCAGCTGACGACAAACCCATCCCAAACCAGGGTTCAAACCCTGCGGCCATGGTGAAACCCTGCGGCCGAACGGTCCATCACACAATGAAACAGCGAAACTGTTTCTAGCTTCTCTTCGCTCGACAAACAAAAGAAAAGGCAGCTCCATGCATACAACACCACGCAGACAGGCAAAATGTCGCTGCCCTCTATACGAGAGCGGCCAGCCCTTGGCCGTGCTCATCGAACCACTCCCGCACCCCCTGCTGCACCTCTGCAATGGTCTCAGTCCGCTCTGTCCACTCGCACGCCACGCCACGACCGATCACGGCCGCCAGCCGATCCAAATCACCCACACCCTCACCCAGGCACTCAGCCAACACGCGACAGAGCCACTCGACGTTCTCATCCGAATCGACGGGCACACGCGGATGACGACCTAATGGACATCACATACTTGCTGGTTGATCGCTCTCCGTGTATTGTATGCGATGCACACATACGTACCGGTGAGCATCCACAGCAGCGTCCCCGTAACGCCAAACACATCTGTCCGGTCGCCAACCCGCCCCATCATGATTTCTGGGCCCTGGAAATGACCCCTTCGAGACTGGGTGGTCTTGGACGAGTCGCTCGCAGCCAGACGGCCGTTGGCCCAGTCGACCAGCAGCACCGGCGGACACGAAGCGGTCGGACCACTCCAGCTGGAGCTGCTGCTCGACAAGGGGGGGTCCGTCAGAACGAGCAGGTTGGACGGGTTCACGTCGCAGTGATACACATGAAGCCCGTTGGCCCACACCACCCCCTCGCAGAGGTCGAACCACCAGCTGAAGGCAAGGCGCTTGTCGGCTGGCGGGCCGAGTGACAGCAGGGTCTGGCCGGGGTGGAAGTTCATGAGCGCGCACTTGCGGGACCGATCGCTGCCGATGAACTCGGGAATGCACGACGGCGGCGAGCCACTGCTGCCTGTGGTGAGGTGGGGAGGAGGGGAGAGGGGCGGGGAAGAGCTGCTGGACGAGGCCGCCGTGCCGTTGGATGGCTCGTCACTCAACTCGAGGCCGTTGAGCCGTCGGAGAGCGCCCTCCTCGTTGGAATAGAAGAGCCGACCATTCTTGCCGCCCTTGAACTCCTGACGAAAGCGTCAAAAGGTCGTGTCATGAAGGAGGGGTGTTTGCGTATGTATCGCCAGAATCGAGTGTGGATACATACCTTGATGACGACCTCGCGGGAAGTCTCTACGATCCCCTCCCCAGTCACGGTCTTGCTCGTCAGCTGCACGCGATAGCAGCTGGCCTGGCGGCCCTTGCCCACCCGGCCCCGTCGATGCGGCACCTCCACGACACCCGTGGAGCCGTCACGCAATGTCAGCTCCCATCGGTGCCTCTCCTCGCCGCCGTTGCTGCCCCGCTCCCTCTCCCTCTCAGCCCGCCGCCTCTCCCTATCACGGTCTCGGTCTCGCCCGGGGAAGCGGATTGGCATGACACCAGGGATCTCGCCAAAGAGGCCATCCTCCCGGACCTCTGCACTGTCACGGGGGGCGATGGCGCGGCGGTTGACGATTGGCCGCACGTTGTCTGCCTCCCACGTTTTGATGGAGCCGTCGGGCCGACAGATGAGGTACTGCACACACCACACACACACACACACACACACACAAGGTGTATGGGATCGGTCGGCCGCCGGTCGGTCCATCCATGTGATGTGGGTGTGCAGTGCACCTTGTATTCGTATGGTGTGCCCGAGGGGATGGAGACCGTCAGTGTCCATGTCGGGTAGGCACTGCCCGCTGACAGCATCAGCGGCTCCGTCTGGCGCCACTCGTGGAGGGCAGAGCAGCTGCCGAGGATCCCAACTACAGATCCAGAAGCCACCAAACACACGCATCCGTCAGTGAATCATCTGAGCTTCCCAGTGCGTGTCTGACCTGCCTCTCCCCATCTGGTCTTCTCGCACTTGACGCTGAAGGTCACAGGCACCATAACCGGTGCGGGCGTGGAGGCCTCCGGCTCTTCATCTTCATCGTCGCCGTTTTCATCTTGCCATAGAGAACCATCTGTTACTTCATCGTTGCCCATCTCCATCGTTAGTTACGGGAGCAACAGATCAGTACGTACCAGCAATTGTACAGGCGAAGATAAAGCTGCGAAAAGGGTCAGCTTAGAACGAACTCTTTTCGGGATCGCAAGCTCGCATTCATCCTTCGTTCGTTCGTCGCATGGCTGCACCGTGCTCCTGCCGACAATCCTCCTTTCAGCAGTCATTGGACGAAAAAGAAGTGGTGTTGGCATGTGTCCCATTCATTCATTCTGTGAAAGTGAGTGACAAACTACTGACTGCACCCACCCAGCATCATTTCATTGGCCACCATGGTTGGACAGCTCTCCTCTCCCCGCTCCCCTCTTCCTATCCACAAACCACACACGCGTCCCTCCCGCCGTCCCATCTCTCCCGCACCCCGCCCAGTCCCCACCCCACCCCACCCGTGGGGCTGCCCGCCCTCCCTCTCCCAGCCTACCTATCATACAGACACCAAGACGTCCAGAGAGAAGCCATCAGAAGATTTCAGTCATATCAGATCCTATCAGATCAGATCAGTCAATCGGCATCCCTGTGTGACCGTCGTCGTCTTTGCCGCCCGCTGCCAGTGTGCGGCGCCTCCCTCGTCTCCCCCCTCTCCGGCCGCTCGGGGCTGTTGCGTGAGGGCATGCAGGTGCCGCTGTGGGGCATGTCGCCGTGCTGCCACATCGACATGGACGGTGACATGTCCATCAGCCCACTGCCGCTGCCAGGGTGGGTGGTGGTGGTGGTCGTCGGGGATGAGTCTTGTCTGGCGGGCCTCGCTGCTGCTGACTCGGACTGTGTGGCGCATTGGTGTTCGAATACGTCGGCGAAGTGCTGCCTAATCCACCACTGGCCGCGCTGCCAAGACTCGTTCAAAGACGCCTTCACGAACGAGATCAGGATAGAAGGCCCATGCATTATAGACAGACACAGAATGAGTAGAGGCCCTTCCCTTCCCTTGCCTCTTTCTGCTGACTGACCTCCACTGCCTGAGGGTCTGGTTCCACCACCTCAGCCCCCCTGTCGCCCTGCGCATCTGTAAGTCCCTCGGGTGAGATGGCCTCCCGCATCGAGCGCCCCGTGGGTGGGGCAAAGAAATACTCCCACAGACTGATCCTCAATGCACGCGGCCTGCTGCCCTTGAGCCACGGATTCTGATGGAATGGAAAGAAGGGGGCAGACAAGGCGATGCGATGGACGGATGTGTGCAGTGCAACTGCACATGTGCTGTGCGACCCGGTGTGTGTTCTGTGTGGTGTGTGTGTGTGTAGGGTACCCTTCGGTCATCGATGAGTCTCATGACTGCTGGCTCCCTCTTGACGAGCTTGGTGATGAACGCCAGCAGCCAGCCCGGCGCACCCTTGCCGAAACTAAACACACACAGACACGACACGACACGACACGACACAAGACACACGGCTCCTGGACTGAACGGTGCGGTGCCATCCTGTTCTCTATGTCACCTGATCTGGGCGCCCAGTGCCGCCAGCTTGATGAAGCGCAATGGCACAAACCTGCAGGAAGGAAAAAAGAGAATGTGGCGGATGCACGGACAGAACGGTGCCAGTGGATGGCTACCCTCTCCCCTCTGTCTACCAGAGTCTCCAGTCGAGTCTAGGAAGGTGTCCGAAGGCAATGCACGGTGGGGTCCGGTCGATGGCCCCCGGCTTGTAGTAGAGGTCGACTTCCACCCACCGCATCTGTCCGTCCACCTCGTGCAGCTCCTCAAACACCATCTCGAACCGGGATGTAGTCATGTTAGCAAACAGCCCTGCACAACGACCGACCGACCGACCGACCGACAGACAAAGAGATGCATGGAAATCACCCATCCATCATTTCATTTCGTGTGTGTCTGTGTGTGGTTGGTGTGTCTGTGTGCAGTCTTGACTGCACTGACCGTACCGTAGGAGTTGCAGAGGCTGATGGGGGCGAGGAAGTCGTGCATCCAGAGGCACCAGTCGGGAGGCGCCACGCGGTAGCGGCGCCACACACGAAAAAGAGGCACACTATTGCCACACACATACACCTACACACAACACACACAACACACAACACACAACACACACAACACACACAACACACACAACACACACAACACACACAACACACACAACACACACAACACACACAACACACAACACACAACACACAACACATCCGTATTCATGGAGCCTGCCTGTAGCCATGGGAGGGTGGGTATGCTTACTCACTGACCCACCAGCATGAAGAGCAACACGAGGCACGTGACGGCCGCTGGGAGCCCCCTCCTCCGCCACTCCATCAAGTCACGGAAATCCCCACACACACCAGACATGTCCACACTCCGCAGAAGCGCACCGTTCCTCTCCCCTGGGGAGGGACCCACCAAGGAAACAGCGACACATGCACGGCTCTGGAATGCATTCATATTATGATGTGATGTGGGCGCACCAGCGATGGCTTTGAGAATGCCGTCGTCGAGGAGGCTGATAGAGATGGCGACGGTGAGGCCATTGAAGAATCCGTAGTTGCCCGTCACACCGATGAGCACCATCAGGAGGGTGAAGCCCACGAAGGTGGCCAGCCGGCAGAAGCGCTCCCCGAAGATGGCTATGGGCAGGAGACACTGCAAAAAGTGGGTGCTGTAGCACTGGAACGCCTTCATCGGACCCCAATGCGCAAACCCTGCATGTCATGCAGGGGTCGAAGAGCGGACAACACACGTGCAGGCAGGCAGGCCTTTGCGTCACCTCTCCCTCCCTCCCTCCCTCCCTCCTCGCTCTCTCTCTCCTCGCTCACATGAGACCGGATTGGGCAGCGGCTGCGTGAAGTAGTGGTAGTGCATTGCCGTGTGGTTGGCCCACTTGGGACAGCTGGACGCTGTCAAGACAAGACAAGACGCCAGCCAGAGAGCCACGTGCACACACGCTCTCCCTCGCTCACACAAGACCTCCGTCTGTCTTCTCTTTGTACTGACCGAATTTGCAGATGCCGGATGAGAACATGAGTTTGAAGAGGCAGATGCGGAAGACGTGGCAGGTGAGTGTGGCCGCTAGGGGCGTGTGGCGGCTGCACGCCCAGCTGCCCACCACCCCTATCACATTGCACTCCAGCAGCAACGCGTCCCTGTGTGGGTGTATGTGTGTGTCAGTCAAGACAAGGAAGGATTAAGTCTGTGTGTGTCAGCAAGGCAAGGCAAGCCGCTTCTCGTTCGCACCCCCTCACCATTGGAAGTTCAAGAAGTCCCTCCCTGACAGACAGACAGACAGACAGACCAAGGGTAAAAGCAACACACGCTCATCGCCGCTCTCCAGCACGCCAGCCAAGGTCCCCCCTCCCTCCCTCTCTCTCTGCTGTCAGTGTGTCGCCCACCAGTGAGTTTGAAGTTGTTGTACATGACGAAGAGCAGGAGAAAGGCGAGGCTCTGGACCGCACAGATGGCCACACTCACATAGGGCAGCCGCCACATCCCGCTCGCAGGCACGAACCACAGCCCCGTCACCAGAAGCGTCAACACCGACACCACCAGCCCCGCATAAGCAGCCAACGAAGGTCTGTCACTCCAGGGGCCTCGCCAGAACAGCACGCACCCCTTGAGCACCAGGTAGAGCAGAGGGGACCTCAAGGGCTGCTCATTCGACGCAGCAAGACGCTCTTGCATGATGCTGACAGATGACGAGAGGGGGAGGATGCCTCCCGACGAGCTGATGAGTCCATCGACTTGCGGGACGAGTGAAGCGAAGGCGGCCACGTTGATAGCGGCGAGTGCGGCGAGCAGGGCGCGCAGTGTGACGGTTGAAGAGAAGAAGCAGCCGCTCCACGCGATGGATGCCACCGATATAACGCAGATGAGTCCAGACCAGAAATGACATGCCGAATCGCTCAGAAATGCTATCGGAGCCTCCCGACCTTCCATTTATGACGGCACCAGCCTTGATGAAGTTCACGCCTTTCTGGACTGCGAGCTTAGGAAACATGCGAGCTTGAAAAAAGTGGCGATTCGTTCGTGCCCTTCTACACCTTGGATGTCCTTCAGCCGACATACGTGCGTGAGAAATCGGGATATTGACGTTGTTTGTGGCCGTCGATAGATCCTGGGATAGATCTCGTCATTCATTCTCAGAGGATGGATATCGATGTCCACGAGAGCCTCAACTATGGGTCAGGAACGAAAACGAACAACTGCACACTTGTTAAAGCGACTCCTTCGTCATCTTCACTTGATTGCTCCATGAACGAATGGTGTGTGTTGCAGGACGGCACTGATGTGGTTTGGAAGCAAATACAGCCACAGACAGATCTATGCATCTATGTGTTGCCTTCGCCGTCACTCATCTGTTGATCTCTCCGTGGTGTGTGTAATGTATGTGCATCCTGATGGATGGCAGGTTCTTGGCCTACGCGGCGGTGCTATGGAAGCTGCAGACGGACCGGAGTGCCCTGGGGATGTCACTGCAGACGCTCTTCGCCCTGGTCTTCACCGAAATCAACAATGTCATCCTGCAGGTCATGCTCAGCCACAAATACAAGTTCCCACTGGGGGCGGCCTTCTATGTCTGCGACGTCGCCACCACCGCCCTCTCCACCTTCTGCTTCTTCTACGTCTTGAAGCACTTCTACGCCACCTACGAGAGCACCAAAGACACATTCGGGCTCAAATTCTTCCGGGCGGTGTTTGGGGCACAAGTGGCCCGGTCGTCCTACTGGCTGTTTCTGTACCTTGTGGCCTTCATGCTGGCCGTGCCTCTGTTCCTATTCCGGCGCTCGCCGCTGCCGGGCGCTTTCAGCATATACGAGTGCTTCGACGACGCCCTGCTGGCCGTGGCGCTGCTGCCGCAGCTGTACATGTTCTATAACAAGAGGCCGCGCAAAGTGAGCGGCATATTGGGCAACTTCATCATCTTCCTCCTCATGGCCCGGCTGTGCGCTCTCACATACTGGTAGGTCAAGACAGCACACACACACACACAGGGAAGCAGACAGCGATGGATGGATGGATGGATGGATGGATGGACTCAGGTTGACTTATCCGCTGTTCAAGCGTGGAGCGATTCCGTCGAGGGGTCTGCACATCGCCACTGAGTCGCTCAACATTCTCATCCTCATCGACTTCCTCTACTACTACCTGGTGGCCAAGGCCAAGGGAATGGCCGACATCTCACTGCCTATATGATGACACACCTGGCTGGTGGCGGACGGAGGGAGGACCGACCTGTCAGTCTGAAGATTGGCTATCTATCGGTGGATTGGCTGATTGATTAGTGGACGGATGGGTGGCCATGGGTGGACGGGACGGGCCGGTGTGGATAACCACGTGTGTGTACTGTGTACAGCCATCCAGACCATCCAGAGAACAAAGACACAGACAGCCAAACAGACATACATAGAGCCCAGGCCTATTTGTCCGGTACGTGTGTGTGTTGATGGATGCCTTCTCTGATGTGATGTGCGTGACGTTGCCCAATTATGTATGTCTTGTGTCATGCATGCTTTACATTAACCGTCCTTTTCGTGTGTCTCTCCCAGTCGTCACAAGTAGTCTCTTCACACCATCCAGGCAGCAACACACCACCTCACCACTGATGCAGCCCAATGCGGGCACGAAAAACAGCCGTGTAGAAAAGGCCGGGACGGCACGCAGTAGGGGGCCATCTCATCTCATCCAACCATGCGCCATCCATCCATCCATCCACGTTGAGAAATCACCGTAAGTGCCCAAGAGAAGACGCAACATCAAGTCTAACCTCAGCTGTCAAGTCAGAACTCACGTCATCCACACACGGATGAGATGAGATGCCTGTGGGGCCAGTGTGTGAGTGAGGGCGCATACATACATACATGCCTGCCTACACGGAACAGATGAGGTGGCGTCGATGGATAAAAGAAACCGACAAAAACAAAGACCAGGCGGCCATTCCAAACGTCCATCCATCCATCCATCCATCCATCGATCCATTGTGTGCTCCCCGAGTGCCGGGCCCGTCGCTGAACGGCGGGCCATCTCACACCGAGTTACGCACAACATACAGACAGACAGACATACACACCCGCCCCCGACAAGCACCACCACCACCACCACCCGATTTTTTCGGTCAACGAGAACAGCGCCGACGCACATAAGTAGACGGGAGAGGACAGCGGCACACCACGCCCAGGCACACAACAACAACAACAACGACAAAAACAAAAAACCCGGCCGCACATCGACGGCTAGAGGTAGAACGTAATCAACACAAACGAAAAGGAAAGGGAGTATCGTCACGACACTCGGCGAAACAGTATCCGCAACATACCATACGGTGCGGTGGGCAAAAAGAAAGATAGGATAAAGAAAGGAGAACAAAAGGCAACGGGTAGGGCTGCTGTCGGTTGTCGAAGAAAGTAAGACACGCAACCATGAAAGGAAATCAAAAAAGGCAGAGAGGCAGCCGCTGCGGCTGCTCAAAAGCAATACAATACACTAGCTAATTAATTAACGTACATCCATACCATAGACAAAAACAAGAAACAGCCATCCTCTCCCCTCTGTCTACGTGAGTGCGCGGGGCCTCTTCTCCTGGTGGCGGTGGGTTGGGTGGTACACACAACAAAAAAGACAGGACACTCGGCGAGCGACATACACCGGCGAGCGACATACACAACACCATGACGCCACGGCCGCCGCATATGTGTGTGATGGTTGGTGAGTTAGCACCGGGAGACCTCTCTCTCGATTGAAAAAAAGTGAGTGGCAGACAGACAGCCAGGCGCCAAATCCATCCATCCATCCATCGACCAGGCCAGGACATCCACGTGCAGGACGCCGGATTGTGTTGACGAGTAGAGAACAAGGCATGGCAGCACATATGTATGTATGGCATGGTACGGAGGCGGGAGGGAGGGCCCTATAAAAAGGTGGCCGTGAATGCGTGTGTATCCATCCATCCACCCCTGTCCTCGGTGAGTGAGTGAGCAAGGCAAGGCGGACATCCATGTCAACCAGCCACCCATACACACATGAGCCACATGGACAGCCAGACAGGCAGGGAGCCAGCCAGGAAGACAGGCAGGCAAGGTGCCGACCACAAATAGCATCATGCAGAGCCAGGTGAGTGGGTGGGTGGGATTCATCGATCGTATCATACATACCCGACGCAGTGGCACCGCACCCACAGGGAGTATGCAGGCACCACCAACACGGCACACCGATCAAACAAATAGGAAACAAGACATCAATGCACTAGGCAGGCAGGCAGGCAGGCATGTGTTAGCTAAACGTTTTCTGGACTGGACACCAGCCACTTGGCGCTCCATACGTGTACGCCTGACGATGGCCACTTGTGTGGCGAGCTCCCCCCTTGTGTTGGTGTGGGTGCTTGGCACGCCACGCCAAACACCAGGCCAGGTGGACAGCCAGATGGAAAGTCGGGGGGGAGGGAGGGAGAGAGAGGGGCTAGCGCCGAGTCAACGACGACACAAATTTATCTATCTATGTATCAGCAAATCGCCACGGACACACCTGCCTCAATCACTCCATAAATTCGTAAGTTGGTGCATCCAGGCGGACGACAAACAGCCATTCCACACACTCGACAAAGAGACGGCCAGACAGGCAGGCAGGCAGGCAGACAGGTGTGTAGGGCTCGTTTCGCAGCAACAGATATACCGGCTGGCAGGGCAGGCACCAGCCAGACCAAGGGTGAATTGCACGACAAACACACACACATAAATCAATGACATCGACAAAGAGGCACAGCTACACACAAAGAAACCCACAACAACGAGGACACGTGCGACAGCTGTTATCTCTGCGCACGTGCCTTTCTCTGGTGGGTGTTGAGAAGAACGGTGGGTGTGTTTACTCTACAGAGGCAGTCGTGGGAGTGCTGCCTGCGTGATCCTCTCCTCTCCCCTCTCTCTGTCTATTTCTTTCCCCGCTCTATCTCTCGACGGGTCTGTCTGTCTGTCTGTCTCTCTGGTAAGTATCAATCAGTCCACGAATGCAGTGAGGGAGCAAGGCAAGGCGGTATCGTCTATCTGTGTGTGCGGGGGGAGGCAGGCAGGTACATGCAGCCAGACAGCCAGCAGTAAGGCAGCCACTCACATACGAATGTATCTATCGCGCCACCCATCCATCCATCCATATCATATCTGTCACCTTCCCACCTCCCTCCCTCCCACCACACTCAGCCACTCACTGGGTCATCCGCACACTCCTGACCGTTCTGGGATTCCACTTGCTGATGGTGGTGTTGGCCGCACTCACATACCCCGCTGCCGCGCTGCACCGCCGCACCGTCTTGACCATGTTGTACCCCTCACACACCAACGAGTGGCCGTCGCCACGGACGAATGAAGTGCACGCCACTGCGGCGCCATCCTCGGGCTTGTCGGAAGGGGCCTCCTTCTGGCCGGGTGTGATGGCGTGGTCGTCCTCCTTCGGCTCGCGCGGGGCGGAGATCAGCGAGGGAGCAGCGGCCAACGGCTCTGCAACGGCACCAGAGGCGTCGCACGGCTCGACGTCGACGACCTGCAGACAGAGACCAGCAAGAGCGATACGGGCAGTGCAGTGCAATCCATTCACTTTGCTGTGTGAGAAGTGTGCAACACACCTGTGGTTTGCCGTCCTGAGGCCCGTCAACACCCGGTAGCACCACACCCCCCACCTCGTCAGATACCTCACAGCCCACCGAGTAACCCTCCCCCGACCTCTCGGCCTCAACGAACACGATGGCCACGGGTGACTCCCGTTTGGCAGGCGCCTCCTCTCGGCCGCCATCTGCGGCGGCGTGTTGGTTTTGCTCGTACTCGAATGGTGCGGGGAGGGGGGAAGGAACGGAAGCAGACACGCCATCCGGCTCACCACAAGCAGCGGCAGCGGCGCGCGAACGGCCCTCGTCAACGACCTGACAGACCAAACAATGAAGGCAACCGCACCCATCCATTCATCCATCCATGCGAGTGTTGTGTTACCATGTGAGAGGGTCGGCCTCACTCATTCCCTCACCTGTGCAGAGCCGTCGTCAACCTCGTCAGCAATGCCCTCCACCTCGCCCACCATGACCACACCGTCGTCAACGGCATCATTGCCGACGATCTCCATGGGCGTCGACTCGCCGTTGTGTTGGGAGGGGGCGGGGAGGGGAGAGGGAGCACCAGCGGACACGTGGAGCGCCGCAGCATCCGGCTGGTCAGCATAAGCGGCCACGATGGCACACGAACGGCCCTCGTCAGCACCACGATACAACTGAAGACACACAGAGACACCCCAAGACCAACACAACACACACGTGCACCCACCCTATGCTAATCTCGGGTGTGGGTCGGCCTCACTCGTCCCCTCACCTGTGCAGAGCCGTCGTCAACCTCGTCAACAACAACACCCACTACGACATCCACATCCCTGATCCCCACCCCATCGCCACCATCCCCACCAAACACACCCTCGCCAGCAGCCCCGCTATCCTCCTGCACCATCCCTTGGCGGCTCGTGTCGTACTGTGTCGTCAGGAGGGGGGCGGGGGAGGGGGACACACGCACTGCCGACGACTGACGGTGTGAGGCTGACTTGTCCACACCCACCGCTGCACGCCCCTCGTCGCCCACACGTGTGCCCTTCGTCACGTTGGCGCGGGTCGGCGGCTTGGGCGGCGGGGCCTTGCGGGCGACTGGACACTTGTTGCGACCTCCGGCGAGCTTGCGGTTCTTCTGGAGCATCTCCCGATATCTCCTCAGCTCCTCCTCCTTGGCCCTCTCATGTGCCCTCGCCTTGGCCGCCGCCCTCTCCCTCTGGCGCACAGCCGCTGCGGCCATATGCAGATTGACGTCAGGTCGACCACTGGGCGGCTTGCTGGCGATGCATGCACCGCTACCGAGTCCTGCAGGCCGCTGAGGACGGCTCTGGTGGCCACTGCAGTGAGGCTGCGCCTTGCTGCTGGTGCCGGGGGGTCCTTTGGGGGGATAGATGCCGCAGCCCATGTAGCTTGCACGCCCCGACAGTCCGTAGTCTGCCACGAGACCGTTCTTCCTCACCGCCGGCGGCGGCATGATGCCGATATGGTGCGAAACGGCGAGAGAACTTATCAAACACTGGCAATTGTTCTGTTGCTGCCTGCTACGTGTGCTTTGGTTCCTTTCCCCGTTTTCTCTCGAGAGCTCGATGATTGCGCGCGAGCTTTATCATACGCTCGCAGGTGAAGAAGATCTTCAGGACTTCTCCCTCTCGAAGTACGTGAGGCTGCCAGGTGGAGCCGCTGCAGCCCAGATCTGCAGCCGGCGCGCGATGGAATCGTCGCTGTCATCAGCATCAGCCATGGCGGTGTCCCTGCTCTCTCTCGTGACGTTCGTCGCATCAGAGGTCACCTCCGCCTTCATCGTCCCGCTGGATCTGCTGCAGGGCGACCGGAGCTTCACCAGCACCCATCGGCAGGCTTTCCAGCAGGCAGGCGCGAAGCGCTCGCTGCACAGGCCGTATTATGGTGGGTCGTCGCGGTGCCCGTTTGTGAGGCTCTACGCCAGGCGGACCGGCCTTGGTGACGGAGATGACTCTGCTCCGGAGGGGGAGGCCGAAAGCAAGCTGACGGCGGACGACTACCTGTTGCTGAGCAGCTTGAACGACCGCATCTACGAGCTGGGGCTGGAGGCATACGCCGCTGAGCACTCTGGGCGGTCACAAGACAGCGATCCCGAGGCAGCGCTCGTGTCTTCTTCTTCTTCTTCTTCCTCCTCCTCTACTATCCCCGAGGCAGCGGAGATGGGCGACTTGGTCAGCTCTTCTTACTTCCCCTCCTCCAGCCGGCGCACCTACTACGACAGGTTTTGGCAGTCACGCAACCTCGACGGCGTCACGGCCAGCGACTTCTCCGACCTGCGCGCCTCATCCGACGCGCGGGACTCCTTTCGCATGAACCTCGTGGCGCGTGGGATGCTCATGTGGCTGATGGTGCTCAACCAGTACCATGAGAAGCGGAAGGCGCAGGACCCTTCGTATGTGCCGCCACACGAGGCCCTTGAGGCCAGGGAGAGGGAGATAGCCGACACGAGGCAGGCGGACATCAGCTTCCTCAGGGAGGCGGAGCTCAAGCACGGCCGAACCGCTTTGGTGCTGCTGTTCGGGTACCTCTTCCACATGGCCACCCACACACTGCCGATGGGCGCCAATGTGTTCTCTCTGTTCGCCTCGAAGTGGCTGCCGATGCCCGGGGCGGTCGGGCGGTTCCTGCAGCTGTTCCTCATCCCAGCCTATGTGGAGCTGGCCTCCATGTCTGCGGTGGGGAAGCGGCTGAGCGACTGGCTCAACAAGAAGGCCTGGGGGGACCTGGAGAAACACATGACCACTCTGCGGTCGGCGTCGGAGGCTCTCTCAAATATGAGGGTGTCGGAGCTCATTCACGGCAGGTCGGTGCCAACATGGACAGGGAAAGGCAGAGAGAGAGAGAGAGAGAGAGAGAGAGAAGGTGCAGGCAGTTCTCATTCTCATGTGTGTGGTGTGGTGTGGTGTGATTCAGGTCAGCGATGGTGGTGGTGTCGTTGCTGGTGTTGTGGCAAGCGACGCACTCGCCCGAGTTCGTGGCCGCCATACAGTCGGCAACCGTCGCCACGGCTGACCCCACATCCGCTTGCTGACCATGCCCCCTCCCCCCTCCGTTGCTTTTGCCTCCCCTCTCCTTGTCTGTCTGCCTGTCTCTCTGTCTGCTTACCTTGCCTGGCTTCTCCTCGCAGTTTTGGTTGGCCTTATTGTCCGTGTTATGTGCAGTCTCCATCCATCCCTTCACTCACGGTCTGTCTGTCTGTCTGCTTGCGTGTGTGTATGGTATGCGTCACCCAGTATTTTTGAGGTGGCTGCTGGCTTGGCTTGCGGGACACACACACACACACGCACGCCATGCCTGCATCCCTATGATGCGCTGTGCGTGTTGCGTTGTGTTGCGTTGTGTGGTGTGGTGTGGTGTGGGGGAGGATGATTGAGCGGAGAGAGAAGGCAGTGGTGTGGTGTACAGGTGTGTGGGGTTGGTGTGGGCGGAGCGGAGAGGGCGGGGAGGGGAGGGATTGAGGGGAAGGAATCGATCGCAGTGATTGAGTCAGAGCGGGTGTGGGTGTGGGTGTGCGATGCACACACACGTGTGTACCCTTCCCTTGCGACAATATGTGTGTGTCCATGTCCGTGTCGATGTCCGTGGATGAGATGAGTGTGTTATGCTGCCTGTGGTCCGGTCCAACAGGAGAAGAAATGAGCTGACTGTGATGTCAGACAGCGTCGAGAGGGGGCCGGGGTGGATGTGTGTGTATGGGTGTGCACACAACTGGGACACATTGGTCTGTCTGACGGCAGAGAGCGGCCGAGCACACGCGTGTGAACGTGATGAGTGCGGCTCTTTTTCTGTGAGAGCAAGGCGAGCAAACGAATTCATCTTAGTAGCGAGCGGAGTGGAGTCAACAAGGGGAGGAAGGGGGAGGAATGGTCTTCTGTGTCGGGTCTAGCTTATCTTCCGTCTCCGTATCCAGCTCCCCAGGCAGAGAGCGACAGCATCTCTGTGTCTGCTCAGTTGGGTGTGGCTGTGGAAGACAGGCAAGAGCCAGCCAGACACGGACACTCACGTGAGGGTGGTGAGGGTGACCGAACACTCTGTGGTGTCTGAATACACTCTCGCTGAATCCGTCTTTGCGACTCATCCCCCCGCATGATTGTCGTTGTTGCAAAGGTGACGCAATCCGACACACACACACACACGTGACACACACGTCTGACATGAATTAGTCGAAATCACCGATAGTACACCACCAATATGGTCGTCGAGTCACACCCACTCACGCACATGACGCACACGGCATACACCAACCACGACCAATGCTGCCGGACCGAATGTCGCTAGCTGTCTGTGTCGCACCGCTTGTCCGTCCGTCCGTCCGTCCGTCTGTCACTTGTAGTTGCCGACGTTGAAGTCCTCCTCCGAGTAGAAGGACGCCACCTGACAGATATTACAGTTACACGCGCACGCACCCCTGTCTGTCGCCTGTTGGTGACCACCTCATCTGCCCACTTACCACAGTGCGGTTCTGGAAGGTGCGGCCCGCCAAACTCTGCCGGCACACCTTGGCAGCTGACGTGAGTGACGTGGGGGACACGCGCACACACACACACACACACACGCTCGGCGTGAGCTGTCAGGGTCGTACTACGCGTGGCGCGTCTTTGTGCTTGACAGAACAGACTGACCGGCGACGTCCGAGAAGTGGATGAAGATCTTGCCGACGCCGCCTTTGGTCTTGCCTAACTCAGGCCTGCACGCAACGCAATCAAATCAAATCAAGGCACACGCAGGTAAACACACACACACACACGCCAATCGAAGACTGCCTGCCTCTGCGCGTGTGTGTGTGTGTGTGTGGTTGTTTGCTGACCTGGGTATGACGATGTTGACGCAGCTGCCGAACTGGCTGACCTCATTCAGCACGTCGTGGAAGATCTCCTGATACGTCTGAGAGAGGGGTCGGTCGCCACACACACACGACAACACAGACCTGTGTCCTGTGTCCCGTGTCCGCTTCGATTGGTGTGTCTGGGTCCTTCCTCCCTCCCCTCCCTCACCATACCAAGTCGTTCTGGAGATCCTGTGTGCTGACCATGTTGAGCAGCTGAACCACACGGGACGGCCGCATACCCTACACACACCACAAGACCACACACACATGCCCCGCCCACGCGTGTGTGTGTCGTGTCTTCTCTCTCCGTTCCCTCCCCTCCCCTCTCTCTCCGTGTGGTGCTGACTGACTGACTGACCATTTTGGTTGTTGCCGTGATCTGATACATGAGCATGGCGTTCTTGGCCACCCCCCCACCGCCCCCACTCTTCGCCGCCGCCTCCTTGGTGGGTTGCCCACCAGCACCAACCACACCCACACCAGGGATCTTGACCTCCTTCGCCTCCTTGGCCTCACGCGCCTTCGACGCACTGATGATCGCCTCTATGTCCGTCACAGACAGGTCGCCAATCCCACCACCACCACCACCAGCGGCAGCAGCAGCCTTGTGTTGGCGAGACAGAGAGGGGAAGTCGGGCGATGATGCATCGAGAGAAGGCGCGAGCAGCGAGGGGGGCAGGACGGGAGGTGTGGAGGCTGCGGCAGCTGCGGCTGCCTGTGGGTTTATGGGCGTGGGCACGGATGAGGCCGGCGGGCCGTTGGCGAACTTGCACCGGAGCTCGCGGCCGACTAAGTCGAGGCCATTGAGGCTGCAGCAGGGAGGGAGAACAGAGATATACAGAGGGCGGGGTGTGGACGTGTGTGGTCGTGTGTGGTGGTGTGTGGTTGGTTGCTCACCCTGCGATGGCGACGTGTGCGTCGGATGGTGTGACGTACTCGAAGAAGGCATAGCCCTGAGGGATCCAACAGACAGACAGACAGACAGAAGACATAGAATGTCTTCCGGGTGCATCGTCTCACCTTTGATAGTGGCTGTCCCTTGTCCCTGACGAGGTTGAAGTACTTGAGCCGCCCAAACGTCCCCACAAACTGCTGCACCTGCTCCTCAGTCAAATCACGAGGAATGTTACCTGGACCAATGCATCCCACGGGACAGGAAATCCACCCCACCCTGCACCACTCCCCTGGTCTGTCTCCCTGACTCTCACTGACCGAGGTATATCTTGTAGTCAGTAGCGAGCCCCGCCTGGTCGTTGGAGACCACCCCGAGCTGTGCGGCTGCTGCGGGCTGGAAGGAGCTGCCGGCAGCGGTGCCCGAGAGGATGTCGCGAGTGTTGGGGATGTAGTCCCGCGGACGACGGATACGCAGCTGCTGCCTGTGTGTGACGCATCGGACAGGACACACAGACACAGAGGATTGTATGGGGCTGGAGATGAGCGTCTGCCTTTGTCTGTCTAGGTGTATGTCTGTGTGTGTGTGTGTGTGTGTGTATGTCTGTGTGTGTATGTCCCCACTCACTCACCCACTGAAGTAGATGCCGTCAAGTCCGATGGCGACGTTGGCGTCTTCTGCGCTGCGGAACTCACAAAAGGCGTAGCGCTTCTCCAACGACACCTATACACACACGCACACACACGCACAAACCCGAACAATCCCGCATTGCATTGGAAATATATCCCTCCCGCCCGCCGACCCACCTACCTGGACGGCGACCACTTTCTCGGTGTCCTCCTCCTCCTTCCCTCTGCCCTTCTCCCTCCACCTCATGCGCCCCTCCCTCCTGTCGTTCTCGTGCTGCAGCTCCTGCAGCGCCGTCTCGAAGAACACCTTGAGCTCAGCGTCGGTCACCACCTGCGGGATGTTTCCCACATACAGCCGCCTGGCCTGCCGGGCCTGGTGGTTCTGCATGGCCAGGCCCTGCACCGCAGACGGGGTGCCATCCTCCCCGCCGCCCGGCAGCGGGCCGCTGCCCATGATGCTGCGGAAGGAGAACTTGCTGCTGGATCCCTCCTCGTCCTTGGGCACCTCATTCGGCGTGGCATCCCACATGGACCGCCGCCGCGCCCTGCTCCTGTTGTTGTCCTTGCTCGTGCTGCGCGCGGCCTCCTTGTCGTCTCTGTTGTCTCGGTCGTTGTCTTTGCGGTTGGGGCGTTGTGGCGGCGGTGTGATGGACTGGCGAGAGGGGGAGCGGATCCGTGAGCGGGAGCGGGAGGGGCTCTTCCTCTTGCGGGATGGGCGCCTTCGGCCGCCCCTGTCGGTGTCGTTGTCTTTGTCGTCTTTGTCGTCGATGTCCTCGCTGTCTTGGCGTCTGTGGCCGCGGGGGTAGGGACGCTCCTCCTGACCACACACACACACATGCACATAGCACGGCACACCATCACACATTACTTAATGGTCTCCATCCATCTCTTCCACTTCATACCCTTTTCGGCGGTTGCCTGTCATCATCCTGCTCATATCTCTGTCGCGCCCCCGCCCCCGCCCCGAAGCCGCGCCTCTCCCTCTCCCTCTCTTGGTCCCTCTCCGCATCTCTGCCATCGTTGTGGCGCACTGTCTCACGGCCCGTGTGTGGCTGCTGCCGCCTGTCGTACTGGTCCATGTAGCTGTCATACTGACGCCTGCCGCGGGGGGCGCTGTCGTCGTCGTATGCTCTCTTGCCAAAGTGGCCGTTTGAACGAGACGAGGGCCTGAAAACACACACACAACGATAAGGCGAGACGACACAGATGTGTGTGAATGAATGAGTGGGTGTCTCTCTGACTGGCCAGGGCAGGGCACACCTCACCCACCTGCCGTTGTTGTCGTCTCGAGGCCTTGATCGTGGTCCCGCTGAAAAGACACACACAGAGAAGAGAGAGGAGAGACAGTGTGAGATCGGGGACCTGTACCGACGGCAGTCCATTAGCAAGGCAAGGCCAGCCGGATGCAGTGTAAACACCCCAGCGCAGCCCACGTAAACACCGCACAGTCACAGGAAAGGTCTCTCTTTGTTCTAGAAAAGGACGGAGGAGGCAGGCAGCCAATGGATGGATGGATTGACCTATATAGATGTGCGTATCATGTTCTGTAAGTCTATTCCCTTAGATAGATACACTCAGTGTCGTGCCTGCTGCGCTGCGCTGCGTCCCTGCATCCATCCCTACATAAATCTACTGCGTGGCTGCCGTGCGGTGCCGTGGCGCCTGGCCTGCTGCTGTACTGAATGGAAAACCACGTGATGTGTGTGTGAGCCATTACGGTAGCCTACCGAGCACCTCCTCAGAGAACGGATTGCGCGCCCTGGACGGAGCAGATGGCTTCCTCACATCCCGGTCGTCGTCCGGCCGTCGGCCGCCGTTCATCTGGCGGCCTCGGTCTGGCGAATACGACTCCTCAGAGCGACTGAAGGACACATCAAGGAAGGACACACAACACGGGGACACACAGAAGAGCCAAACACACACACATAGGATGAGATGAGCAGCACTGTCCGTTGCCTTGCCTTGCGTGGCGTGTGTTGTGGTGTACAGGTAGGTAACATACATACCTTTCAGAGCCGTCGTCCCTGAGGCTGCGGCGTCTCTCCCGACGCCCATCTCTCTCGGAGTAATATCGGCCAGACATTGTCGCCGTAGGCAATGCCTTGCTCTCAACACGCCAATCGCCGGCCAGATCTCTGCCTCCAAATTTTTCCCCTTTCGCATCCAAGCTCGCAGAGAAAGGTCAAAAGCTCGCATTCTCCGGAGGAGACCGAGTCGTGACGAGGGTGCTTTCCTAGGCTGCCAAGGCTACGTAGCTAGTTCTCTCTTGCAGCTGTCGGCTTGAACCGTCTCCGCTTTGATCGTTTTGGCGGCTCTGTGGGTACGCGATGGCGACGGACACCGCACAGGTGAGGGGAGCGCACCACACACACATGTGCATGCGGCACACGAAAAGGCAGGCCAGCCAGACGGGCACCGATCGTGTGGGTCGTGGGGTGATCGACGTGAGAAGCGAGGAGGGGAAATCTCGCAAGACGGCCGCTCTCTCTCACTCTGTGCGTCTGTGTCGCTTTCTGGCTGTCGGCGATGTTGGACGATCAGAAGCCGGACACTTTTCTGATTGAGAATCCCGATGGCACCATTGATAGCATGGCGGCGGCTGAGAACTACGCGGAGCAGCAGCAACAGCAACAGCAGGTGAGCTAAGACGCTCGGCACATGACAGCGCGGCACACGGGGCAAGGGCGCACGTTGGTTGTCTTGTCTGGTACTGGGGGGTGCTGTCTGTCTGGTGTGTGTGTTGTGGCGTGCAGGCAGCTGGCGTCAAGGCTCGGCTTCGCTGCTACAGCTGCAACACACTGCTCGAGTATGACGCTGGCGCTGCATACGTTCAGGTGTGTATGGGACACGCCATCGCAACACACACGATCTCGGTGTCACACGTCGGCCTCCTATGCGATATATCTGTCCATCTGTCTGTCTGTCTGTCAATCCGGGCGCCTGTCCTGTCGTCTAGTGTTACACGTGCCGCACGATGAACTCAGTTCTTCCGGGGGCAGAGACCGGCGGACGAGTAAGCAAAGCAAAGCAACCCCAACTCACACACCCCACGAGCCGATATACGCGATGTGATGTGCATGTTGGTTGGTTCCTCTGTCTGTCTCTGTCTCGATGCGTGGGATGGCGTGTGGGTGCCTGCAGGTGTTGAGTATGTTGTGTGTGGTGTGCAACACCACCAACCTGGCGCCATACGGCACAGCGTACGTCCGATGCGGCACCTGCCAAACCATCTCACAGGTCAGGCCGGGCCGGACCGGGCCGGGCCGTCACACCCGTGTGTCGCAATGAACACAGCACTCCTCACTCTTGTCTTGTTGTGTGTGTGGTTTAAACGTCTGACACTCACTCACTCCCTCAGGTATCTCACGTATACGAGCAGGAAGCGGAGAGCCAGCGTCAGGCGGCAGCAGCGGCGGCCGGCCGTGTGGGTGGGGGTCGTGGGAGGGGGAGGGGTGCGGGCAGCGGCGGCTCATCTCCCAACCCCAACCCCAATGAGGCACCCACACAGGCGCTACTCGGCAACCAGGCCACCTGACTGAAGAGGGTTGGAGGGAGGGAGGGAGGGGGGAGGAAGGGAGTGAGGGGTGGCGGTTGGTCGGTTGGTCGGTCTTGGTCGGCTGACTGACTGTTATTACCTTTTTTCTTGATGGGGTCGTTACTTTTGGGGGTCTGTCGGCGATTGATTGTTTCTCATTCCATCATACCTACTATACCTTGCCTGTCTGTCTGCATGTCTGTCTGTCTGTCTGTCTGTCTGGACAAGCCGTGTGCGAACGAGTGCTTAACTAATGGTCGGTCGGTCGGCCTGCCTCTCCCCATCAATCAATGAATGCCTATGTTGCTTTCAACGAACTGCAGGATGGCCGGCCGGAGCTGGAGGGATGGATGGATGGATGGATGAAGATACGTGTGTGTGTCTGTGTGTGTGGTGTTTGTTTGTTGTAGAGTACATTGGTGCCTGCAATGACTCTCCCTCCCTCCCTCCCTCTCTCTGTCTTTCTTCTCAGTGGCCCTGCCCACTTCCGTCCATCCGAATGCTTTGGAATAATCAATGGTACAGCTAGTACATGGCCTCAAACAGGCGGTCCCTTGCCTCCCCTCCCCCTCTCCCTCTCTCCCTGTGTGCCGCCCCGGCTGTCTGTCTGCCTGTCTGCCTGTCTGTCTGTCTGTCTGTCTCGGTACCTTTCCTCTCCTCCATGCGTAATCCTTCTTTGTCAGAGTGAGGGGTCCATCCCATCATCCTCTGTGTGCGTGCGTGATTTGTTGGCCCTCCATAGACACATGACATGATGATGGAGGCATCTGATGATGCCATCCATCATGGATTCATCGACACACGTGACTAACTGACTGCCATGGTTGACATGGTGACATGGTGACATGGTTGACTTGCTTGGTTCATTCATTCATTCAAAGCGAGATAGCTACCTATCGTGATGCGTGGCCAGCATGCATGTGTGATGCATGCATATGTGATGCACACACGTGCAGTACATGCAGTGAAGACAATGACCGTACGTATATACATACCGTTTGTTTCAATCAACCAACCAACGATCTTCAACCAACCCATACCATCAATTACGTACGTACGCCTAACCTGAGCTGTCCGTGTCGCATCGCATCCATACCATACGGTAACCTGGCCTTCATGTCTGCGGTCGGTCATCTGAACTAATTCATCGCGCCGCCCTGGGCAAGATGTGCCAACTCAACAGCAGGAGTTGGTGGCTCGCTCATACTCGCTTCTCGTGTCGTCCATTAGTGGAGTAGGGGACGGACGGATGCTCTTGGGATTCTGTCGTGTGCGGGGCTGCGAGACTGACCTGCAGCTGATCTTTCTCCGGCGCCACCGTCCCTCCCGCCCTCTGGCAGCCTCTCAGTGCTTCAGCCTCCATGTGTGGCCAGAAGGATGCTTATGGCCGCCATCAGCCATGCCGCTTGTGAGGTGGGGAGGGTAGGGTTGGCCCCGGCGGTGAAGATAAAGACGCTGCAGTCGTCACCGAACCAGCTTGGGGGGCACGAACACACACCTAGTCACATCACACGCAAAGACACACACACACACACACAGATCCAGCGAGGGGTTTGTTTACACAGGTGGGTGGGTTGCGGGGTGGGGTGAGGGAGGAGGGAAGGCTTACCGCCGGTGCAGTTGCCGTGTCCCGAGCAGTTGTTGAGGCAGAAGAGACGCGAGCAGTCGTACCCACCGTACCTTGGCAGGCGACACAAGGCAGGCCACACACAGCAAAGTATGTCTCCCCCCCTCCCC